AATTAATTCAAAATCCGATCTTAATATCTTATTAGGCGTATTAAATCATGAATTATCGTTAATCTTAGGTCGGGGTTGTTACAGTCTTTCTCCCTTAAAGAGTTCGGTCATCCAAACTCGAATTACCTTCATTTTAGAAGAGCACTGGATCCAAAGGAAACAGTTCGGGATATCTTTTCATCATATCTTCCTCCGTCTCCCAAGTTGCATAAGTTCTTTCACGATTCTGCCAATCAACCTTCACTAACGAAATTTCCTTAGTTTCTCAATCTTTTGATCCGGCGATTCACATCCTGAATAGGTATTTCTTCATAAGTATAATCATCCTTCAAAAGCATATGGGTCGGCTCTATAACATGAAGTGGGTCTCGTAAGTAATCTCGAAGCATTGAAACATTAAAAATATTGTGCCCATGCTCTATTACTGGAAGTAAGGCTACCCGATACGTTACCGAGTTAATCTTTTCAAGAATCTCATATGGCCTAACATACCTCGGCGCTAGCTTGCCCTTAACACCAAATCGAGTTTGTCCTTTCATAGGGGTCACATTTATAAACACATGGTCCCCGATTTCATATTCTCTGTCTCTTCTTCGAACATCTGCATAGCTTTTCTGACGACTTTGTGCAGTTCTCAACCTTTGTTGAATTAATTTCACATTTTTAGTTGTTTCTTGTACAAGTTCCGGTCCCAACAAAGGTCTATCACCTACCTCAGCCCAATATATCGGAGATCGGCATTTTCTTCCATACAGAGCTTCATAAGAAGCCATTCTAATGCTTGAATGATAGTTGTTGTTGTACACAAACTCAGCCAATGGCAAATAGGTCTCCCAATTTCCTTGGAAATCTAATACACACATTTTGAGCATATCTTCCAAAGTTTGATTGGTCCGTTCAGTTTGACCATCTGTCTATAGGTGATAGGCGCTACTCAACCTTAGTTCTGTCCCCAAAGCCTATTGCAAACTCTGCCAAAATCTTGACACAAACTTTGAATCCTTGTCAGATACAAAGATACTGGCACCCCATGCAATCTCACAATCTCATTCATATAAATATTGGCTAATTTGTCAGCATTATAAATAGATTTAACAGGTAGAAATGAGCAGACTTAGTTAAACGATCCATAATGACCCAAATAGAATCCATACCTCGGGAAGAGCAAGGCGATCCCACAATGAAGTCTATAGTAATGTGCTCTCATTTCCATTCCGGAATTGGAAGTGGCTGTAACAAACCAGCGGGTCGCTGATGTTCGGCTTTAACTTGTTGGCAATGTAAATATCTAGCCACAAAATCTGCAATGCACTTTTTCATTCCAGGCCACCAAAAATTCTATCTCAAATCATGATACATCTTTGTGTTTCACGGATGCATGGCAAATTTGGTGTTGTAAGCTTCGGTCATAATACGCTTTCTTAAATCAGAGAAATCTGATACACAAAGTCTATTATGAAATTTCAACACATTATTCTCAAACACAAACCCCGGCCTCGGCTTTGAGTCAAATTCTTCCACAATCTTTTCCAAGTACTCATCTTCAAGTTGCTTCTGCTTGATTTTTTCAATGATTGCAGGTTGAGCGGAAATGGTAACTAAAATCCCACCTTGCTCTCGCAAAACAATTTCAATCTCATTCTTTTCCAAGTCATCTAGCAATTCTTTTTTACTGGAAAGCAAACATGAAAAATTTCCAATCGACTTTCGGCTTATGGCGTCAGCTACAGTATTAGCTTTTCTTGGATGATACAAAATTTGCAAATCATAGTCCTTGATCAATTCCAACCATCTCCTTTGTCTCATATTCAATTCTTTTTGAGTGAAGAAATACTTGAGGCTTTTGTGGTCCATGTACACTTCACAAGTCACTCCATACAGATAATGTCGCCAAATTTTCAAGGCAAACACTACAGCTGCCAGTTCAAGATCATGTGTTGGGTAATTCTTTTCATGTGGACGGAGTTGCCGAGAGGCATAAGCAATTACTTTCCCATTTTGCATTAACACACACCCCAAACCTTGGTAGGGAGCGTCACTGTAAATCTGAAAGCCATCAGTACCATTGGGCAAAGTCAAAATTGGTGCAGTTACTAGTCTGGTCTTCAACTCATGAAAGGCTGACTCTCGCTGTTCATTCCAATCAAATGATACATTTTTCTGAGTTAACTGAGTCAATGGCATTACAAGTTTTGCAAAGTCTTTCACAAATTTTATGTAGTAGCCTGCAAGTCTCAGAAAACTTCTAACTTTTGTCACATTCGTCGGTTTAGGCCAGTCTACAATGGCTTCAATTTTCTGTGGGTCAACAGAGATACCATCCTTGTTGATTACATGTCCCAAAAATGCTACACTGTCAAGCCAGAATTCACATTTAGACAATTTCGCATATAACTTCTTTTCTCTTAGAATCTGTAACACAGTTCTCAAGTGATTCTCATGAGCTTCCTTGCTTTTAGAGTAAATCAAAATATCATCAATAAATACCACAACGAATTCATCCATAAATGATTTAAACACTTTGTTCATAAGGTCCATAAAGGTAGTAGGTGATTAGTCACCCCAAACGGCATTACTAAAAATTCATAATGTCCATATCTAGTTCTGAATGCA